GAGGTGTCGGTGATGGGCCATAATAATCATATACAGTGTATATTGACAAAATAAAAAAAATTAAAAAATAAAAATGATTACAGGGGAAAAAAGAGAACATTATAAATATTTCTAAAATTCACATATCCAAAGTCAACCAATTTCTCTCAATTTCTCTCTCACAAATATGCATGTACACTTTCTACTCACTCACATATAACTCACTCCCCAAGAAGGGAGTACCTGGCTTATGCCTCTCTCATTTATTTCCCTAATGAATTACCAAGAGCCTCAACAGAAAAGTGTGGCTCTGAGACAGCCATTTACAAGGAAAGTTTGAGGCCTTTCTAGCATGTGCCCAATTGTACTACTAACCAACATTGCATTGTGGAGCTCTAACATAATCCTAATCATGATCTCAGCTTCCCACTAATACTTGTAGATTTTGCATAGATTTTTACAAAAAGACTGGGTAGAAATATATAACTTTACTTACAAACACCAAATTTCATCTCTTAATATAATGCTACGTAAAAACTTATAAGTTGTGAGACTATAATATTCCATTCAAATAACAGTTGAAGATGAATACCTGCTTTCCATGATTTCTGAATCCTGTTGCAAACTAATAGTCTCTGTTGTAATTTCCACTTTCCGTACACTTCCAAAGAAATCAGTTATCAGGACATTTTTAGGATTCCTCTGAAAAAGATCAGTGCGATGTCCAGGAGTAGACACACACAGACTTTTGGGACATACCTGAAACTGGAAAAAAAAAAAAATACACATATGCATACATATACAAACAACTTTTGTTAAATCTAATGAAACAACTGACACAATATAGTAGATTATAATGTATTTTTAAGCTCTTGCAACCTAAAGGAGCTAGTAGTTCTAAAGATTAAAGTTTCATTCCTATTATAATGCTTGGCATTCTAAAAAAACTTAACAAACATTTGAACAGTGATAAAAAGCCAGCTGGCCATAGAAAGGAAAAAACTTCACTTTCTTGAATCATATGCTACAAAGTGTATTTTGAACCCTTAGGTCCACCAAGAACTCACACTCAACACTGTGACAACAGAATTGCTTTTTACTGCATCTATATCCATCTCAGTGGAGTACTCTACCAGAGCAGTTTCTAAACATCTTGTAATCATGATCCTTGATTTATATGAACTTTAAATTCAAATAAAATATTACATGGTGGTACAATATGTGAAAAACATTAAGGTGAAGCTGCTCCAGATTGCAGGAAGTTGAAGCATAGCCTCCCCCTTGCGCTCTGCTGTAAATGGTACCTAGGTACCATTTTACAAATCAAATAACTTCCTTAGTTTATCAATCATGAAAATAAATGCAAGGCACCTCCACAGACACTCTAGAGTTTCAAAGAATACAGTCTGAAAACCACAACTTCACCACTACACAGATGTCACAATACTTTTTGTGTTAATCTTATCCCTGACTTCCCAAATCAGTGAATTACCAAGGACAGACACATATCCATTCACTCAGCAAAACATAAAAAGTGTCTATTACATACAGTTCACACTCTTACCATCCATAGAGGATATACAGATTGATAAGACACGGTCCTGTCCTTAAGGCTTTTCAGTCTAGTTAGAGATGAATAAACAGAACAATAACAAAAAAAAAAAGATCGCAGGTTCCACTTCAGACAAAAATAAACTTCTTATAATTTGAGGATGGAAAAAAGAGAAAGTGGCATTTAAGCTATTTTTTGAAGGAAAAGCAGGATTTACAGATGGGAAATAAGAAATTTCTAATAAAGGTGCAGTTGCAGAGACGTGTAAAGCAAACAAGCTAGTTTGGCTGATGCACAGGATATATGAAGAAAACAATTACAGGCCTGCCAGTAAGGGCCCAGGCTCACAGCACCTGCCCTCCTGTGGAAACAAGGCTATCTGCATAGGTAATCACCATCATGAAGGGAGCGAGGTGGGGAAGAGCAGAGCAGCTACAATTTATGAAACATAGTGTTCCAACACTGTGCTGAGTAATTTGCAGATATTCTTATTTAAGCCTACCAGTAACTCTGAGGTATATACAAGTTATATCTCCACTTCAAACTAAGGTTCAAAAGGGATTAAGTAATTTACCTAACATCACATCGCTAACAGTCCTTGCCTGCCCTGTTCAGGAAAGCAGTACAAGAAAACACAAAGGAGATCAGGATATAAATTAAGAAGCAGAGAGGGAAAAAAAGTAAAATGCCAAATAGGAAGGACACAACAGATGAAAGGCTGAAGAAACACAGTAAATGATAAAGTAAGCAGAGATAAGATTGAAGTCCCAGGCATGTTGAAGTCCTCTTGGGCAGTTTTGTGTGAGCAACTTGATGGGTATTATTAAGTACCAACAGAAGAAAACAGAAAAAACATAGTCAAAAGGGCTTGGAAAACACTGAATAAGCACTATCTTCTTCTTTGCTGGTAAACAAACATACTTCCACTTATTATGAAGAATCCTTCTTCAAGATGCTTTGTCATATCAAACATTCACACTCACACAATGCAACACAATGACCCTCAGGTCCCGCATTACTCAATTTAATTTTCAGTAATCATCTTCCAGAACATCCAACTCTAGCCAGGCCATATGTTTATTATCAAAGACAAGGATCATCTGTTATTTCAACTTCTGTGCCTCTGCAGGTATTCCATGTCCCTAGAGTATGCTAAACTTCTTCTCTTCCTTCAAACCTAAATACTTACCTCTTTTAAGAAAAAAATGTTAATTATCCCACTATGTTTAAAGAAACCATACAAATGTGCATTATTGTCATATCCTTCCATTCATTCAGTAAATATTTAATGAGCATCTACAAATACATCAGGTATTATAATTAAGTTCTGTGATACATAAAGATAGGCCTTACACCTCTTATTTAAGAAGCTCAAAGCCTGGAGGGAACATCACAAATATAAACAATAAGTGCAATACTAAAAGTATAGTAAAGGTATATGACAAGATTTACACATTCACAGAGGAAAGAACATTTGTTAGAGGATTCAGAGACTTCATATAACAGGTAACAAGCTATAAATGTTCCCTTCAACTATTACCAATGACACTATAAATTTTTAAAGAGCTAAGCACCATGTCTTCTAATTTTGCTGCTCCTGAAGCACCTAATATAGTACTATGACTACAGCTGATACTCAGCAAATTTTACTATGTACACATAATCCAATAGAAAATAAGTATTATTACACTATTGGTCTAGAGATCTGTAAAATAACTATTAGTAAACTGCAAGAAAATGGATCATTTTTATTGAGTAAGATTAAAATAGTTATCATTAAATTTTAAAAAGGGATGTTGGGGGCCAAGATGAGGTATCAGTGAGGAATGTTTACTAAAAACTAACAATTGTGAGCAATAAAAAACATGTTTCCTCAGTTTTTTAACGTATAATTTCAATGGAAGAAGTAAGAACATTTAGAGTGTGAGATACATATTTTTTAAACTTATAAGGCAGCATGTCATTCATTACATAAAATATACAATGTACAATCCAAAAATGAGAGTAAACTTTTTATTGGAATTTAGGGGACTATAATATTCTTACAGTTAAAGCAGCATTACAGAAGTTTTGTTTTAATATTCATATTGATATCAAGATTTAATAATCATCAAAATATACAATCTTCAAAATGAAGTTAGTAAGTAGTTCTATCAAATTTGACCTATAGCACTGGTTTTCAGAATTTTGCAGTAGAACCCCTATAATAAATGTATGCTTACCTAAAAGGTCTCTGTATAGTAAAAGAGATCAATGCAAAGATGCTTGGCTGAAGAGTGTATTCAGACTTCCCTTCATTCCTAAGCTCCATGAAGGCAGGAACAGTGCCCATCCCTTTCTTAACGGTATAGCCAGTGCATGGCACTTAGCAAGCATTCAAGAAATATTTATGAATGAATGAACAAGATATAAATTAATGGAAAAAAAGAGTGAACAGCGTTGACACACAGTAATTATCCAGTATAGAATTGTCTCAAACTTTTTATTATACTTACTTTCAACAGCAATTTCAAGTTAGATTTAATTGAGAAGATACAATCAGCACAGAAAACTCAGAAATAATTTTTTTTTACTAAATTCAACAAGCCATGTCAAAAGACTATACTAAAAGTTGTAGGCACACAAAAATATGTAAGAAAAAGTCCCTCTCTTCAAGGAGCTTCCTATTAAATGGGAAAGACTTACACTCAAATAGTAAGGAAAATAAAAGACAGACTGTAATAAGTGTTACAAAACACAAAGTTTTATGGAGGCTCTAAAAAGATAAGATAAACTCCAACAGGAAAGAATTTGGGAAGACTTCCTGGAGGAGCCCTGAAAAATAGGTAGAATTTCAAAAGGTGAATCTTTAAAAAAGTACATTTCTGATAGGGAAAAGAGAACAAGCAAATGAATTAAAACAGGAAAGTACCTCAGTCATAGATGGGGGAATAGCTAAAGCTTTAGGCCTCTTGTAGTAAAGAAAGATACTAAAATAAAAGTAAATTCAAAACAGTTTAAAAGGCCATAATTCAACATATGAAACAGTATTCCCTAGGAGTACAGAGAATAGTAAATTTCATTTATTACATTAAGATTAGCATATCTATGTGCTATAATCATATCAAGCCAATACTTACAAGGTCATTCATATTAGTTTGGCTAGCTGGATTAATTTCTTCCAAAAATTCCAAGACATAAAATGTGTATCTATCCATAAGATGGACTCCAATTGCAGGATCAGGTTGATGCTATGAAAAGAAAAAAAAAGTATAGATCTCATATCATGATGATAACAAAATGTTTAAAATATATCAAAATTTCCTTCTAATATTTTTAAAAGTCTAAGAATAAGAAATAACAAATACATTCATAAAACATATAAGTGACTTCAGAAATAGCTATACATTCCAAAGACACTGCAGTTCACAAATGGGGAAAACGCACCTACCGAGAGGGAATCTTCTCCCACTTGGCTACTAGCTAGAGCCATTATGTTAGGTGAATAAAATCGCTCATACATGGATGCTCCTTGACAAGTATCAATAATAAAGAGTAGCTCATTGTAACTGAAAGAAAAGTGATCATATCTTTAACATGAATCATGCTGTTAACCATACAATGAGTAATATTTCTATATTTCCTTAACACAAGATGTTTAAAACATATTTTAGTCATTTCCTTAGCTAAAAATTTGGAGTTTTCAGTAGAACTTCCAATAGAAATTTGACATTAGAAGAGCTACAGGTATAATTCTGTCCAAGGAAACCACCCCAACAGGAAGTTGTGGTTGTGCCACAAAGCAGCTGCCGACCGAATTCTTTCCCCCTCCTTTGTCTATGCCACATGATTCAGAATCCAAATGAATATTCAATTCAACAAACACTTATCTGGCACCCACACTGTCCTAGAAACTAAAGTAGGTTCAGAAACACACACATACACACACACACACACACACACATGCATGTGTATATGACTTAGAAACTATACTCAAACAGCTTAAAATTTAACTGGAAGGAAGACACATAAATAAATAAGTAAATTGGAATGTGATAAATATTACAAGTATATATTGAGAGCCTACAATGTCACTGTGCTGGCGATACAATGAATCCTGCCCTTCTACAGCTTAGAGTCTAACAAAGTCAAATTGCTCTCTGAGCAATGAGAAAGCAATAGAGGGAACTACAAAGAAAAGCAAGTCAGAGAAAGGTGATGCCTGGTGAGAGCTATTTTATCAAACAGAGAAAGGAAGAGCCCATTCCAGCAGAGGAAAAAGCATCTAATCTGAAAAAGTACAAATGTTTGGGAATAGTTCTATGTGGCTAAGGTTTAGAGTAAATTTCGGAGAATGGAGAGAAATTCATTTCAAAAGGTCTGGTAGGGTCAATTTGTAAAGGATCCCATAAGAAGTCTGGATCTTATCCTATAAGACTAAGGAAAACTTGTTTTGTTTTTAAGTGAAAGAATAACATAATCAGATCTCTATTTTACAATAATCTGGCTAGCTGGTAAAGGTAAACGTAGGAATGAGATATGTTTTCTGGGTCTAGGTAAACAGCTAACACTGCCCCTAGAAAAGAAAGCGTAAAATCTTGAACCATAATGGCTAAGAGGGTGATGGAAGGCACAATTAATATGACACACTTATTCTGAGACAAAAATCTGTGGAGGCCCCTAAGGATCAGAGACATCTAAAGTTATGAGATACAGTACAGAAAAACAATTAAGAGAGTGAGCTCTGGGAACAGACCACTTGGGCATAAATCCTAGCTCTGGCATTACTGGCTATGTAAAGTTTGGCAACTTACTTAATCTATCTGCACTTCAGTTTACTCATTTGTAAAAATGGGAATAATAGTATCTACTTCATAGAGTTGTTATGTTAAAATTAGATGAGACAACACATATAAAACAGTATCTAGTGTCTAGTATGCATTCAATAAACATAAGCTATGAATAAGACATAACCACTCCCTAGTAAAAGCTTCCTCCTTAATACTTCCATACATTCTGCTTATGCTTATATTTCCACATTTATAATATTTATTTTGTACTACCTATTTCTCTTTTCCACTAGATTTAAACACTTTGAAGGCAGAATAAGCATCACATTCCCCTTTGTGCCATACGTGTAGAAGGTAACCCATAGTGTTTACTGAGGGTAATCCAGTTAAAAGCAGTGCTATTGAACTTTAAATTCACTTAAGTTCATAAACATGACAAATTCCAACTAAAGGGATGCTTACAAAGGATACTAACAATATAACACTGTGAATGTGAGTCAAGTTACAAATTTTATGCTAATCATAATTTCAGCAACGTTTTTCCAAAGAAGCAGCAATATATTGCTATCACAGCAGGGGCCAGAGAATGTGCTAGAAAGTTAAGAATAGGTACAATTTGGAAAATAAACAGATGTTCATAATCTCCATTAATAATAGGGAACTTGGTTGGAGAGACTTTTAATTCCTCCAAAAAGGATGCTAAATAATAAGAAATGTGATCTTAAAAGCTTAACTTTTTTCATGTTATCTAATAACCCCGAATTTTTGAGTAGAAGAAATGATTTTAAAATAAGTTAAAATCTTATATAATAAAATAAAAACTACAAATCTACTAACCATGGAAAAATTAGGTATTAACATATTATGAAAAGAAGTCAATTGCTAATTACCGCCGTTTCTGCCACATTTGTTCAAAAGCATCTGCAAGTTCTATGTTGGTAATTTCTTCAGAATCTTGAAATTTCAAGAAACCATTTCCACCATGTCCTTGTAGGAAGAGTCAAAAAGATCAACGAGATACTTTTTTAAAAAATGCAAACTGCATACATCCAGATATACACATTTACTTCATTCATTGCAATATTTTAATTACTTGTTATTTTATACTCTAAAATATGTACTGTGAAAACAAATAAATTTAATTTTCTATTATATCAATTACAAAGAGAATAATAATAGACTGCAAAAAATAGTAGATACAATATATTAAATAGTTTTTGTATCATTCAATCCCAGAAACCCACATATATACTCTTCTACTGGCTCCATTGGTTCCATTATTATATCAGAAATGAGTTTCCATGCACAAATTTTCAAACAACAGGCAAACATTTTTGGCAGAAAAAGAGCTTAAGACTACCTAATCCCATGGTATACTATTCACTGTGTATACTTAGAATGCTATTACTACCAGGAAGGGCAGTTCTCACCTAAAAATAGATGTTTTTACTATAATTGACCACAACAGTCCCATGACAGCTGACCAGAGACTGTGACATTTAGTATGCAGGTTAGAGCTAGTCTGTCTGGATTCAAACACTAGCTATGCCATTTACTGTGTTATGTTGGGCAAATAACTTAATCTTTCTATGCCTCAGTTTCCTCATCTGTAAAATGAAAAATACCATAATTAACTTGCTTATACAGCTCTTTTTTGTGCAGATTTTTAAAAGGTATCTTCCATTGGGCATCAAAGTAGAAAAAATTGTCTATTTTAGTGCCCCCCTCTGGATATATACAGCTCAGCAAGCTCAAAAATGGTTAGTGACTATGCCTATATAGGGGAAAAAAATATTCCTCCCACCCATTAGACATAACCTGTGGTAGGACACACAGCTCAGGAATTGTAAACACATACTAGATTTTAGCTCCTACGTAACCCTGGCCAGATATTTTGTGCAACAAGCCACCAGATGTGGTAGCCCTGAACATGAGCACTTACATCACCAGGCTGCTTGAGGATGACATGAGTTAATCACAAAATGATTTAGAATATTGCATTACATATAGTAAGTCTCAAAAAATATTAGCTATTATCATCTGTACTATCATATTATCATAATTATCAGCCCTCTTATTCTCTTACAGAGGTTGGCAACCATTTTCTGTAAAGGATCAGTAGTAAATGTTTTAGGTTTGTGAGCCATGTGGTCTCTGTCACAACTACTGGACTCTGCCATTATAGTGTGAAAGCAGCCACAGACAATATGTAAACAAACAGATGCAACTGTGTTCCAACAAAACTTTATTTCCAAAGCAGGCAGCCAGTTCAGAGGTCACAGTTTATTAAACCCTGTCTTAAACTACTAGAATTTCTTCCATGCCTAGAGTTATCCTGAAAGACAACCAACAGAATCAAGGGGAAAAATTTTTAAACAATTTAGTTTAGTACATCAAATAAAACTAAGCTACAAAACTATACTTCATCTCATTTACCACAAAAGCTTGAAATTTTCTTTTAATGTTCAGATAAAGTAAAATAAAAATTTTCCTGATTTCATTAACTTTACTGAGTTAACTTACAAAGTTTATAAGCTTATTGAGTTTAAAAAGTTGTAAATAAATGCAACATGATAAAGAAAAGGCACCAAGCAAGGGTCATTAACTGTCCTGCTATGTGACATTTAAAAAACATTCTGCGCCTGTTTTATCATTGGTTGAATGGAATGCCCTCTGAAAAATCTAATGAAAATCTTTTGATCAATATTTATATTTACTGAATACTATTTTAAGATAGGCACTGGTGATAAAAAGATGAAAAACATATAATCAAGGACAGCTTGGAATATAGTATAGCAATAGATACCCATACAAGAATGTAATAATCAGTTAAATGCTATGATAGAAACTAAAGATTAATATGGGAGTGAAAAAAAGAGAACCCACACCAGCCAAGAAGATGAAAAGTGTCTTTGGGTAGGGCAATTACAAAATCTATTATTCATACCAGGCACTATACCAGGCACTTCTGAAGAAGAGAGGAGGAGCTGTTAATAATTACACTGGAACAACAGGTGTAAACTAGCACTTGTCTCAGGTAATTGGAGACATAGGACACCACAGGCTTAGAAAGAATATCACTGAAGGAAGTGACTCCTGAACTAACACTAAAAAGATAAGGAATAATCAGATAGGCAAAGCAGATTGAGAGGGCATCATAAGCAGAAACAACAGCTTAAGCAATGTCTGAAGGACAGAACAGTCAAGTGCTTGGAAGGGAATTAGAAAAAGTATAAGAACCAAGACTGAAATTAAGTAAATAATAATATAACTAAACTATAAGTTATACATATGTAAATCTGTATACTATACATTATAACTACATTATATTATGGAGAGCTTTCTTTCCAGTATTCCTCAAAGTATAGTCAAAAGATTAATACATCTCATAACTGGGGAGTATGCTCACAATGCAATTTGAAGAACTCTACCCTGGACCAAAACTGAGTAAGAATTTTAGGATAAAGAGACTAAGCGCCTGCATGCAGGTAATACTTATGCACACTAATATTTGAGATTCAATCCTTGGGAAACCATTATAAAGTTTTAAGCAAAGGAGGGATAAATTTACAATTTCTATTAAACACTTTAGTAGAATGATTAACAGGCAAACAAAATTGAAGAGAGGGATACTATAACAGGATATTAAGTAAAAGGTGATAAATTTTACCAGGGCTACAGTTAAAAAAAAATAGAGATAAGAAAATAAGGAACAGCAGAAAATGTTATACTGTTTTCAACTATCATTTCAAGAAGTTCTGTATCATGGGAAAATAGAACTACATGACAAATAAACTACTATATTTTACCAAAAATCATTTAATGTGTTTAAATTTCTTTCCATTTAGATTTCTTTTTGAAAAGTTTTAATATATTCTACTATGAAATCTCTGAATTCTGAAATTACCTGTCATATAAATAAGAATATTGCTCCTATCATCAGAAAGAAGACGTTTTGACCTAGGAGTACTAGGTGGGATCCTTCCAGTTAATACCCGTAAGAAATTCTCCACAGTTACCTGAAAAAAAATAAGAGAAATCAGATTAAATAGAACCTGGGGAAACTTAACAAATTATTTTTTACTTTCAAAAACATTCTTTCTTCTTTCTCTATGTACTACTCAGCATAAACTGAAAATGAAACACAGTAATTTTAACTCAATTAAAACATATTCATTTAAATATATACCATCAAGTAATTTTGCTTCTATAAAAAAAAAATGCTAAAAACTAACAGAGAAAATCTACTTTGGAGAAAAATAAGTTAATTCTAAATTTAAAACTTCAAATGCTATGCAAAGTATTGTCTTTAAAAATTACCCTATAGGTTACACATTATTAATTTGTCTGCACTGGCAATTCTTTTTTTTTTTTTTCCTTTTTTGTCTTTTTCCGTGTCCGGCAACGGATCGCAACCCTCAGTGTCACGCCCGTACCGGACCGGGACCGGCAACAGGATCGCACCCCTCGGTGTTGCGCCTGCCCCTTGCTTAGCCAGTGAGCGGCCGGTCTGTATGTGGGATCCGAACCCTCGGCGGGAGCTCCGCCACACTCCCCAGCAGCGCACTGTAGCAGTGCGCCACCGGGCCGGCTGCACTGGCAATTCCCTTTTTTGTCTTTTTCCGGGTCCGGCAACGGATCGCAACCCTCAGTGTCACGCCCGTACCGGACCGGGACCGGCAACAGGATCGCACCCCTCGGTGTTGCGCCTGCCCCTTGCTTAGCCAGTGAGCGGCCGGTCTGTATGTGGGATCCGAACCCTCGGCGGGAGCTCCGCCACACTCCCAAGCAGCGCACTGTAGCAGTGCGCCACCGGGCCGGCTGCACTGGCAATTCTTTGGGAAGATACAAAACATAAGAATTGTAAATAAATTCAGCTACATTATCACAGCTAATCTGCATAACTACTTAGTCAATCATAGATTAACCATGAAAGAGAATAGTTCCATAAATAATCCCCGCAAATTATGCATTTTTAGTTTTTGAATGCATTTTGTTACTTAGATTCCATTAGGGGTATCTTTAACATGTTAAAAATTCATAACACTTTCAACCAGACTTCCCAATCTGGAATTTCTAGCCCTCTGGAATTCTCTGAAGACACATTTAAAATGACAGAGAGTAAAATACTAATTTAAGTTAAAAGCTAAGTCATATATTATACATATCCAGCTTTCTTGTTTGACTTTTCCCTGGATAATGCATGTGTAAATGTGTATGGATACATGTGTATGCATGCATACACATAAGCTGTTTAATTTACATTTTTCCTAGAAGATGGCAAAATGCTAACTTTTAATAGGACTTCTGTTTGGCTAACAAGGAAGGGAAAAATTTGGACTACATTTTAAGATGACTAAATAAACAAGTAAAAAGTCAAACATTCATACACATTTAATTCATTGAACATTTCTGAGTGCCTACAACAGGCTATAGGTACTTGCTATGTATGTATAAGATACATAAGATATAAGACATGTCCTCAAGGAACTTACAGCCTAGGAGGAAATAGATATGCTTTTAAAATTGCTTCAAGAGGTCTAGGAACACAGGAAATTGTGTCTCATTTTTGGTAGTCTTGGTAAAAGGGGAGGGAATATCCAGGAAGATTCATGAAGGAAGTCTTTAAATTTTAAACATATTCACAATCTATTAAATTTAAAATGAAGTTTCAAAGCATATAAAAACACTGGAAGCATATGAAATACAGGTTTTTGTTAGTCATTATAATTTTTCCACAATTATTTACTAAAAATACTAAACTTAAAATTTTAGATCAATGTGAAAAACAAACAATACACTTACCGTAAAAGAAAGTTGATCCATGAAATATCATTAAAATACTCTAACATAGAAACCAGTATAAAGTTTTTCTATCTTAGATACATGTATGAAGTATTCATGTTTTAACAGTTTTACTCATATACTGTTTCTTTAATACAAACTCCAGACACAGAGTTATATCAAGGCTTCAGTGACAATTATGTACTAATTTTAAAGAAAAACAGTAAGACAATTTTATTCTATCACTATTTTAGAGTTTAAAAGTAACAATGACATTTCAGAAATGTTGCTAGATTAAACAGTTTACCTCATAGCTTCTATAATCCACTTCCACATCATCTCCATACACATTTAATTCCATATTCTTGTGACTAAACACTGTAGCTGGTTTAGGATTTCTAGGATTGCATGCCATATCATCTGCAAGCATTAGGACAATATGACTAGGAAAAAAAAATTCCAATAAATATACTAATTAAATAAAACCAAAAACTTAAACACATAAATTTTATTTACATCATGTAGTAATTAATTCTTTTCCTCATTAAAAATAACTAAACTTTCAACTACATATGTAAAGGGGCTTTATTTTTCTCATATCCTTATGTAGTATAAGTTTTAAAGTAATTAGAGCAATCTGAAAGAACTTGAAGTTACTCACTGAACTTTTTTCCCAACAGAGTATACTTTATGCCGTATAGCAAAGAGAAGCAAAAGGAGATACGCTGTCTTCCCTAAACATTTTTTTAAAGTTTTTTTAGTAATATTTGACATTATCAAGATTTGCAGAGTCCACATCACACTATGATGTTCCAAAGAATTTAATTTTCAGAATCCCAGATGCTTAAGTATAAAAACATGTAATGTGAGAGAGTTCCAATCAAGATAGTGGAATAGACGGTCCCTAGCATCACTGTCTCCCACAAATCAACCAATTTACAACTGTAAAAAAGTAACATCAGGCAAGCTGGGGCCGCTTGAGCTCAGGGGAAGAGGAGGAGAGACCTACAAAGATCATGAAGGCAGGAGAAACCATGATGAGAGAAAGAAAAAACTGCTCTGAGTGTTTCCGGCCATGTTTCCAGCCACTGAGCAGGCGTGTGGAGCAGGAGCCGGCAGAAGCTGCAGCTGTGCCCTTCAGATGGAGTTACTTGGAGGCGGCAGGGGAGAAGAGAGCCTTGGTGTCCCCAGGACAGCAAGACCACTAATAGTGTTCCCATGGACACAAACAGGAGTGAGGAGCCACAACTAGCTCTAAAAGGGGAGCCATTCAGAGTCCAGTGAGTCATCTCAAGGGACCAGCCAGTCCCATGGGAAGTGTTTGGAGCACAGGTGGTGGGGGAAACAGGCCTACCTGGAGAACACTGGGACACAGCAAGGACAGCCGATCTGCCCCCCAATCAGTGCAGGACCACTCAGAGGAGACTGGTCAGGAATACAGAATTGCATAGGTTGCGGTTTCATGAAAAAACTCAGGCCCAGATCAGTTTCTACACAACCCAGGTGAACCAGGTCTCTGGAGAGCCAGAAGTACCTATAAAGTCAACTATCAAACCCTGAGCTGCACAAAAAGCCTTTCCTAGGGAAACAGCAGCAAAGCAGCAATTTAACTCAAGCACACAGCTCAAGAACTGGTTCCAAAAGGAAGTTCCCCCATTTTAGAAGTAAGCAAAGGACAAAAAATTAGTTCCAGCCCAGGCACACCACCAGAGCCTTGGGGCCCACCAGGGACATGAGGCATGGAGCTGTGGACCAGCCTCCACTCCCACATCCAGGCATACTGCCAGTGCCTCGGGGCCCACCTGGGGGCCCAGGACATGCAGCTGGGGACTGAACCCCCACTCCCACAACCAGACACACTGCACCAGCGCCTTGAGGCCCACCCAGGGACCTGAGGCTTAGAGCCAGGGACAGGACCCCTGTCCCACAACCAGGCACACCACGCCAGCACCTCAGGGCCCACCAGGGACCCGAGTCATGAAGAATTGGACCAGACCCTTCTCACACAACCAGGCACACCATGCCAGTGCCTTGGGGCCTGCCCAGAGTCCCGAGACATGGAAAAGGGGAACAGACCCCCCCCTGCCCACAACCAGGCACACCACCAGCACCTTGGGGCCCTGCCTGGGGGCTGGGGCATGGAGCCAGGGACCAGAGAACCCCCTCCCACAACCAGGAACACAATGCCAGCACCTTGGGGCCCACCTGGGGACCCAAGGGATGGAGAAGGGGACCAGACCCCCCTCCCACAACCAGGCACACCATGCCAGTGCCTAGGGGCCTGCCCAGGGACCCTAGGCATGGAGAAGGGGACTGGACCCCCCCCACAACCTGGCACACCATGCCAGCACCTTGGGGCCCGCCTGGGGACCCGAGTGATGGAGAAGGGGACCAGACCCCCCCTCTCAAAACTGGGCACACTGCACCAGCACCTCAGGGTTCACCCAGGGACCAAGGCATGGAGCCAGGGACCTGACCACCCTCCCACTACCTGGCACACCACACCAGTGCCTTGGGGCCTGCATGGAGACCTAAGGCACGGATCCAGGGACCAGACACTCCCCACAACCAGGCACACTGCCAGCACCAAGGAGCATGCCAAAAATGTCACCTCCATGTGGGTGGCCCACCACAGACACCACAATAACCATGGCTGCCACGAAAGCGGCTAGTCACCACAACCACCACACAGATGGTCTGCCAGCCACTGTAGTGCATTGACATAAGGAGAGTCACCAGCAGAGATAAAGAAAAGAAGAGGATGTCTCTCTCCACAAAGTCCATTTCAGAGTGACAGAAGAAGCATCTGCTCTACAATAATACTGGGGGACCTGATCACACCTCTCAGCATTGGACAGATCATCTAGGCAACAAATCAACAGAGTAACCATTATTCTTTCAGAAGGAGAGAAGAAATCTAGGGTGTTAGAGGGGGAAGGGAGAAGGGAATGGGGAGAGATCGGACAAGGGGCATAAAGAATAATTACGATTCGTAACAATATATATGCTAGTAATATTGATTTGATCAACATATCTCAATGTTGAACTCCAAAAATATGCATAATCAATTTTGATTCAATAAAAATTTTTTTAAAAACATGCAATCTATCAGCAAGTGCAATCAGCATAGCATAGGAACACATCTCCACTCCAATCACTCCTCACTAGCCCCACTCCATCTCCCTAATAGAAGCCACTTATCATCTTTCAACTAGATGCTGGAATAGCTCCTACCTGGCTTGCTGCTTCCACTCCCACCCTCTTTCAGTACCTTCTACTTATAGCCACCAGTGATCTTACTTAAAAAAGTCAGACTCCAATCACTCCTCACTAGCCCCACTCCATCTCCCTAATAGAAGCCACTTATCATCTTTCGACTAGATGCTGGAATAGCTCCTACCTGGCTTGCTGCTTCCACTCCCACCCTCTTTCAGTACCTTCTATTTATAGCCACCAGAGTGATCTTACTTAAAAAAGTCAACTCACTCAACATTCCCACTTTAAGCCTACTAAGGACTCCGCATTATTAGAGTAAAATCAAAACTCCTTACATTGTCTAAAAGGCTCATTTAATCTGGTTTCTAGCTCACTCACTTCAGCCCCTATCACCCACAATCACTATGCTCCTTCCACACTAACCTATTCCAGGAATATGCCAAGCCTTTCCAACTTCAGGGGCTACTAAACAAATCTAGACTTCTCTCTTCGCAGATGTTAACATTCCAATCTCAGCTAAGGTACACTATCTCATTATGCATTTTATTTTCTACAGGACATCTATGAATCTGAAATCCCTATCATCTCCCACCACCAACCCTTTAGAATATAAGCTCTCTGAGGGCAGAGGCTGTATCTGTCTTGTTCACCACTATACCACTCAGGTTTAATAATAGAGCCTGGCATATAGTACATACTCAGTAAACAATTTTAAGTGAATGAAATATTTTCATTTTTGCATATAATTCATTTAAGAGCAAATTACAAAATCTTTCTTAAATACCGCTCATCTTGATCCCACCATTAAAACTGGTGCACATGAATCAGGAAATTCTTTATTCTACCATATACTTGAGCTTCCCAAACATAAGGGAAAAATTAATGTGGCATTCATAATTAGTTTGGCAGAAGACAGCAAGAAGAAAATGTTCTGCTGCATATGTTCCAAATACATTAAAGTTCAAAACCGAAACATTGTGATTTTTCTTGAAAATTGGCTAGATTTCTACTTTGAAAGTGTTCCAACCCTGCCACATTCAAAGATCAGATCTTCAGCTGTTACTGATTCATTCTCACAGAATGGTGAAAGTTATTCCTCTTAAAATGGAAAATACATCTTCTCTTTTTTTAACTTAAGGAGATCATTAATTTATCTTATATTATTATCAATCATATCTTTTTGTTAAGATTGAACTGACCTTCAAATGGCTATATAAAATGTCCTTGAGGCCATGTTTTTTGTTTAGTGTTCATTTCACTCTAAAAAACTAAGTGATTATTCAGTATCTATACAATGTCAATATCAATTGTAAAGTAGTAATTTCAGCTTAAAATCATAAATTCAATCCACATTTCTCATAGAGATAATACTGAGCCCCAGTTTAAGTACTGTGACCCACAATTAACACAAAAAATTATCATATTTGTAATAATGTAGATAAATGAGAAGTCAGGAAACAGAATGGATTTCAAAGGTTTGGAAGTCTAACCACATATTTTAATTCACTGTTTCTGAAACTTAAGAAATGTTCAGAACTCTTTTCTAAAGAAAAAAAATTCTCCCTTGGTCCAAGTGTTAAGTTATTTGTATAATAGTACTTAAATATATACATGCAAGAAAACTACTTAGGCTTGCAGATCGTAGAAAACTATTACAGAATCAAGAGAAAATTATAAATCAAATTCTGACAAAACTACCAAACTATTAATACTCTAAAGACATTAATCCCATTTGAAAGATGATGTTATTTTGCTAAAACTAAATGACTGACGTTATGTTTAACAGAAGAGCTTCAGGTCTGGTCCTACATTTAAATTTTTTCTGTATTTTGACATCCACGCTACAAATATAATTCAATGACACAGAAAATGTCTGTTCACAAAGGTACATTGTACAATATGAAATTCATAACTTCCAGGTTCTGTTTACTGTTCAAGATAATCAAATCTTATATTTAAGTAAGCTTTTGTCTGTAAACATTCTTTGAACATCAGTTATCATGAGATGTCACTTGTTGATTCCTTAAAGTGTCCTTTTCACTTGAATATCGGGTTAGCATCACAGGAGTTATTTAAATCTGCACTGAATGGGTATCAAATCAATCACTGCTGTAATCAAAATATCTACACTGAAGACATACTACTACATTCCTCTAAATAACAATAACAAGTTGCTTTGTAGCTTATAAAAATTAAGACAGAATCCCCAAAATATACCCAAGTGATA